AGGCCTGTTCTCACTGAGGCAATGAATGAGTGCGTCTGGCCACACGCGCGTCTTATTTTAAAACATAAAGAGATGCACTTTGTTTCTATGGTCATGACAAATTATTTTATAACGATAGTTATATATAGTATTTAACAGAAACATAAGGTAAGTTACAGTAAAACTGTTTTTCCACCATATATATATATATATGTTTTCAAAATGTCCAACACAGTGTAATTACTTTCAAAAAACTAAACAACGTCAACAGTTTAAAAACTTTTCCTAGGGTCACTGACTCCAAATTAGAGGTTTCTGCTTTTTTGTTTTGTTTTCCTTTCAATTATCTTATCTCTCAAAGGTTGTGTTCCAAATTGTTGATAGGCTTGTAAGACTAGGTGAGTTTTATGCCTAACGTTCTTTATAAAACTACTAAAAGGTAAAAAAGATAAAACACATATACAAAAATAGAAAAAAAGTAGAAACCTTTATTTGGAGAAAAAGAGATGTACCTTTAGGAGGGGATGGGAAAAAATGCTTTCATAAAAAAGCAATCTTAAGCAAACGGCAATCTAAAAATCAAGGGCATGCTCCCTAAATCATTCTAGTTCATTTTCATCTGTTTTAAAAAGGAAAAGCCTCACTAAAAATAAAATGCCTTTGTGATGTGGAAATGTTCAATTATGACTGGGGCATTGAAATAGCACAGACACTTGTAAATGATTTTCCGAATTTTTATCTTAAATTATATTTCAAATTGCATAAGTAATGGCTATAGAAAATTATTTCAGAAATGAGTATTTACTGTCTGTGGAGTATTACAGGTTATTACGAAATATGACCCTCCATATTGGTCAGGATTTCCACAGAAACAGGGCAGTCTGCCCCTTCCAGGAGAACCTGTCCTTCAAACTGGTGAAAGACTATCAGGGAAATAAAACATCCATCCCTACGAGAAGCAGTCAAGTTTATACAGGTACAAACACGTCCTTACAGAGTATGCGATGAGGAACCGCTCCTGAGTAGGATGCGGGGGGAGAGGACAGCATCACTGGGGAAAGATGAAGACTGGGCAGTCCAGGTGAGTGACCAGCACTGTCCGGTGTTCAGAACGCACCTGGCCTGCTGGGAAAAGGTAAATGCCGCTTTGGAGGAACTGCACACGAAGTGAATCATTCGAGATTGCTAAGAGATCGGCTACCTCATAAATGGACTTGTTCAAGTTTCGTAAGCCCCTAAATAGCACTTTTTAGTAGTGCAATTAATTTTTTTCTTCATTAACTTTATGCTCAGAGACTTGGAAATTGTGGAGCAGTTTCAGAAAACAAGCCTGCTTACTAAGTGGGTTTTCCCAAGTTCTCACAAATCACAGTGACACCGAAAACATCAGTGTGGGTCTCATTATGAAGGAAAGTAAAGATAAAGTACGTTAGTTTAAGGTTACAATCAAGTATTGAAAAAGTAAAGTAAGGTGGTATAATAACTGATTTCATATCATCCTACTATTCTTAATAGATATTAATAGGTAATTCAAGTAATGAGATGTTAGGTACAGAGATTTTCTGAAAAACTCACCAGGATCACATGTGTAGCTGATCACGTGGGTGTATGACTCATTTCAGTAAGGGAGAACCCTCACCATGGCTTAACTTTTTTAGAAAAAAAAAATGATTGTAAGGCAGTGATTGAGACTGTATTTAATTATGTGTTTTCAACAGAAACTCACGGAGCATCTCTGTGCCTTTGTCTGCTTGGAGTATTCTGGGCACACAGAATAAGAGAAAGCTTGCCTCCTCATGGAGTTAGTGTCTGGAAACAGGCACTAAGCAAACCAACAAGCCAACAGATGAACAGAAACCTGACGGTGGGAAGAGCCGCGCTGCCAAAAGAGCACAGCCAATGTCATAAATGGCGTTAGGCTAATAATATGCACGCTGCTGTGGGAGACATTTGGAAACATACATTTATCCTCAAGTTTCATTGACTCTGAGGCATTACAACTTGTCTATTTCGCAATTATTGGACACTCAAAATAATTTAGAATTCTAATGTGAATACTCACCCATGCCATAATACCAAAATAGTACTCATAATACCTACTTAAAGCTCCTGGAAGGCTCCAGGAACACTATTCTAAAAGTTGATGATGCAACAGAAAAAAATGATGACAGAAAACAGCAAAGATACACTTGGACTGAACAGGACTTTTTAATTCATAAGCAGAGCTTTTGTTAGAGAAGCAGAAGGCAGAACTAAGGGACTAGAGGTCCAACTGGAGGAAGAAAATGTCTAAACAGTGTAAGTGATCTTGTTAGGAGGCAAACGCATGAGAACAGATCTGCTAAGAATCCTATCAATTGGACATGCCCCAAATTGAAGGAGAAAAGGACTTATTTCTCAGGTGTGCTCATTAAGAAATGGAGAAATATTCTGGGGTGAGAGTGATAAAAGAAAAACCAAGTCACCTTCTAGTATAGATATTTTATAGTAGAATTTTATTAACATTATATTGTTTTTTAAAAGTCTATATGATCATAATTAACTTCCTCATTTATCCTCATTTTATACAGGGCAATTCACCAATCTTCGAATGTTGACTTTTTTAATTGAAGTGGTTAATGGGATAGCAGTATGTGAAATATGCTTTGACCCTATTTATTAGATTGTATTCTACCTTGACAATAGACACAATCTAATAAACAGCATAAAGGAATTAAAACTGAGTATACACAAAACTTTACCTAAAGGTCTCACTCAGGAAACTGCAAGGATCTTCCCGCAATTTCTATTACAGCAGTGTGCCCTCCACAGGCACGGGCATCATTAGGAAACGTGCTCGCTCATTTTCATGAAAGCTCTGTGACTCTGCCCTCTGCACACATGGCTTTCAATGCCTCTGAGATTCACCTTAAAGACTAGGGGATTGAATCGGACTGCCTTTAGGGTGTGTTTAGATTTACAGAGTGGTCCGAACATGGACTCTGGAGCCAAAATGCCTAGAGTTCAATCCCAAATGCTCGTCGTATCCTTAGGTTTTAAAAGATTGGACTTGTAGCTTTACAAATACTGGTGTGTTTGTAAAGCAACTGAACTTTGCTCTAATTGGGGTATAGTGCCACATAGCTTTTGGGTGGATCAGCTGCTATGTCTAATCAATCACCATGCTTATTCTCTGCATCTAAATGCAGGATGTGGGCAAGGATATTATAGCAAGCTTTTACTCATCGGATGTTATTGCTGATTATTAGTTGCTGTCCAGATTCCTTTAGAATCTTTAAAAGAGCCCAAAACTGCTCATAAAACTGATATACCAAATGTTTTATTTATGAAATGTAAGAATACATTTCATTAGAAACAAAAGACAAATATACACCACAAGGGCGGTCAGCATTACCTAATCATTTTTGATACTTTTTAAAAGAGAGCAAATGATCATTGGTCTTATCTAAACCAAACTCATAAAACTCATCTATATGTAGTAGGTCAAATAAGTAGCAAATCAGAAATGTAACATATATAGCTATCTTTTAACCTATAAGGGTTTCATAACAGCATCAAAAAGAAAGCAAATATGCAAATTATGCAGGGTTATTTGCATGCATCACATGGCAGGAAATCTCTAGGTCTTTATCCCTAGTCCTATTTCAGCATCATGATCACAGACAGGGTGGTGCTAAGTAAGGCAGTGTGAGCTTTTAGAAACACATTCATGAGCTGCTAATCAATTATTTACAGCCCCAAAGAAAACAAAGAGCCTTGTTTAAATGCACACAATATTTACAGAAGCTCAAGCTATCACTGCTGCTAAAAGTAAAGCGGAAGCGTGTGTCTGTGTTACAAAACCAAAGTGAGACTTGCCTTTCTAAATTGGGAGAACCTTGACTTTTCTGGAAACTTGTCTTTAAAAGAAAACTAAAATTACTATTTAGAAGTTAACTCAGATAACAACGGTATTTCATTCAGAAAACGACTAACACTAATTTACACTTAGTTTTGCAGGCTCCTCATCCAGATGTGTTTAGGCTTTGTCTTAATGTGCTGTGCCAACAATGTAAGCCAAGTAGTTGCATTTTTTTATGCGTGATGGTATTTTCTGAATCTAACCTAAATTAACAAGCTGAGTTCTTAAAAAGTAATATGTAAATTGACTTCAAAATTATTTATGTAAAATAAAGTTACACAAAGAATATTTTTAATATTGTACTCTAAAAGAGGAAAATTGGGAAATAGCTTATTTATCAAGCTTGAAGTATCATTTCTACACATAATATTGGAGGTTGTGTGAGTGGGTTCTCAAGTCATACCCGTTGTTTCAAATTATGATTCTGTCATTTCTTTTCAATTTATTTTGGACAATTTATTTAAACTTTCCCAGTTTTGGTTTCACCTTTTACACATGGGAAAAATAACAGAATCCACTTTGCAGAGGCATTTGTGGATGTGAGTGATGTTCTAGATAAAGCACCCCACACAGTAAACCGCATCATACAGGAAGCAATACACAAATGGTCATAATGCAACCAGTGTGCCATCTTTCCGTAAAACTTATTATAAAAATAGTTAAATGTATACAAAAGACTTACTTAAAATGCATAACAGCTTAGAATGGGGAATATTAATAAATATGACTACATATTTTTAAATGCATGACAAATATCAACATAAGCAAAATAAGAAACCAAATGAAATAATGTGTATCAGAGACAAAAGTTTAGTAATTCTAGTATAAAAGAGGCATCTAAAAATAGAAAGGGTATTAACCCTAAAGAAAATGGACTAGAAGTATGAACAGAACAAATGGCTTTTTAACCACATGAAAAGATGCTAAACCTCTCTCATAATGAGAGAAATAAAAGTTAAAATTAAGATAATATTTCTCACCCATCATATTGTCAAAAACTTTAACAAAAAAGCTCTTATTTGGCAAAGCTATGGGGAATTCTCACATCATGGGAATAATAATTCACACAGTCTCTATAATGGAGAATGAGACAATAACTAAAGCATTGCGACCTACTTACCCTTTGGCCCAATCACCCCATTCCGGGAGTCCATCCCAAAGGTCCACGAACAGAAACACGGAAACGCGGTTTGTATGAGACACCCGGTGACAGCGACAGCCTGAAAGCAAAGTAAGTGGCGATCAGTGGGGCCATCATTGGGGCCCTCAGGGGGGCCATCGGGGGGGCTGGCAGGATGACAAGGGTTCATCAGGAACACAGCACGCTGGGAGCCGTAACAAACCAAAGGGGAGCTCAGACATTACTGGGGGCCTCTCGGGCATGGTCTTCAACATATATATGCTCTTCACTGAACAAAGCAAAGGGAGTAAAGCGTTTACTCACTCATTGCTATACTAAAGGAGAGGGTAGCACAAATGTGTACATGTATATATGGATGCTCGTATATGCACACACATGCATACTTCACATCATATGATATATTCTGATTTGTTTGATCAATACGCCAACATTTAAAAAGAAAGGTTATAATGCTTAACATCTCCATAAAAGCATGAGTGTAGCAGCATCGCCCCTGCCCTGGGCTCTTTGTTGCTGTGAGATTCTCTCCCCAGGCATATTCTGGTGGTAGAGGTTGCTATTCATAATTTTATGTTAATTTTTTTTTTTAGCTGAGCCATCCTGCCACCTGTTGGCAGCTCAGCAGCTGCTCAGCTCGGGCCGGGACTCGAACCGCTGTTGCTCAGAGCTCACACTCTTGAGCGAGCTCTTAACCAACTGAGCCACTTGGCCGGCCCTTTAAGTTAATTTTTATCAGGCACCTCGTGTGAAAGGTTTTGTCGGACATAGATGGGACATAGCTGGTTGGGTTCTGTGGCTATTTTAGAAAAGAGGTTATATTATAGTTCCCGGTGCATCTATGACAACATTACAGAACCTACAACCTTGAGCCTCCTACAGTCTACTGCTCACAGGACAGTTTCCATTTGCTCCCAAGAAAACAATTATTCTCCAAAAATATAACCCATGGTGTTTCTGCTTTTATATTCCAGCTAAATCTAAGGTTGTTATGAGTGGTTGTTTTCTCGAAGAGGGACCAAGAAAGGCCCCGACCAGACCCACCGGACAGTCCACGAGCCACTGAAAGTCACCTCGTTCACCAGGGGTTCATTATCTGATTTTGACGCAGTGTGGACAGTATCTACTGGTGACAAACCAGAGTCAAATCAAAATCCCCTTTACCTTCTTAAAATCTTTTTGGATGGCACCAGTACTTTTTCTGACTTAAAGAACAAAGTGATTTACTCAGGATTCTAGTTTCAAATCCTAACAATATTCCTGCTAGTGAACACTTTGTCAGATGTTACTTCTAATGTAACATCTTTTGCCTACAAACTATAGACCAAAATATTCTAAACAAACCAAATTCAGCAGCATATTAAAAGAATTATCTACCATTACCAAGTAGGATTTATCCCAGAAATGCACGGGTGTTTCAACATAAGAAAACCAGCCAATGTATATACCAAATTTATAAAATGAAGAAAAATAATTACCACAGGCCATCTCAATTGATGCAGAAAAACTCCAAATCCAACACCCTTTAATGAAAAAGCCACTCAGAAAGCTATGGCTGCAGAGGTCTTCCTCAACACATTAAAGGGCATTTATAAAAACCCCAAAGCCAACCGCATTCTCAAAACTTTCCCCAAGATGAGGAATATGACAGGATGGCCACTTGAGCCATTTCTAGTCAGCATTTTACTGGCATTTCTGGCCAGAGAAATTAGGCAGAAAAAAAAATCATAAAATCGGATCACTACTTCATTATTGTTATACATTCTTGTGAGTGGGACAAGTCTGTTCTATTTAGTTTTAATTAAATCGCTCCTGTTTAGATCTTGGAAGATTTTAAATGGAATAACCCATATTTAAATGTGCTCACATGTATACTCAATAACAGTTATTCTTATAAATGTATGGACAAAATAAGTCGATAATTAGTTCTCCAAAAATCAATTTCTTTTTTTTTTTTTTTTTAGCTGAGCCATCCTGCTACCTGTTGGCAGCTCAGCGGCTGCTCAGCTCAGGCTGGACTCGAACCGCTGTTGCTCAGAGCTCAAACTCTTGAGCGAGCTCTTAACCAACTGAGCCACTCGGCCAGCCCTTAAAAATCAATTTCTTAATGTAGAAATATTTAGGTTAAATGATATTTGACTGGAAAGCCATGACTCATGTGTTTAGGATTAAAACTATTTTATTCTATTTTTGACTCAGGAATAAAGACATATACATGGGAAATTCTCTTGAATAGTAGATTCAAAAGTGGTAGAGAAAATAACCAATTGAAATACTTGAAATTTGCACCTTTGGTAATGTAATAGTTTTCCACACAACTGACTGTTCCATGAATCAAACTGTCGTTTTCAAAGCTATCTTATTTATAAGTAGATTTTCATTAATAAAGATTGAGCTTTAAATATACCTTAATAGTGTATTAGTCTGATCAGGCTGCCATAACAAAATGTCACTGACTTGGTGGCTTCAACAGAGAATTATTTCTCACAGTCCTGGAGACTTTAAGTCCAAGATCAAGGTGCTGACAAGGTAGCTTTCATGCGGAGGCCTCTTGTCGTGGCAGGTAGTGGCCCCTTTCTCGCTGTGTGCTCTCATGGCCCCTTCTCTCTGTGTCCAGGGGAGCAGGGGGCTCTCTAGTGTCCCTTCTTACAAGGACACCCACCCTATCAAGTCAGAGCCTAATGACCTCATTTTCCTTAATTACATCCTTGAAGGGCCTATCTCCAAATACACTCACTCACATTACAGGGAAAGGCTTAAACGTAGGAATCTGGGGAAGACACAATTCAGTCCACAGCAAATAGATGTGTTTTCCTTTGTAAAAGCCCTTTCACGGCTACATGTCGGGCACAGCATAATCACATATATTATCAAATAACTCCAGGGCTCAAAGAGAGACAATGTACATTTTGTTTCAGATTTACACAATTTGGAATTATATTAAGTCTCCATATAAAATCAGTACTTTAAAATATTACTATAAGAATATATTATTATTTAAAAATTATTTTAAGCCCATAAAAATAAAGATGAGACAAAACTGCTGATGGAGAAGATGACTCCCCATCAGCAGACCGTGAGCGGCTCCCTCTCACGCTCTGCGATAAAGCACGCTGTGGAGCAGTGACTGCAGTGGAAGTTATCAGTACATCTGAATGCAAACTACCCAGCCATGAAGCACGAGGCTTCCACCTGCTGTAAAAGTAAATTAGGAGGCAACGCTTTGCTGGGAAAGCCATTGGAGCCCCTCAGTTCATGACTATTCATGGTGACACTAACAGATGTCTCTGCTCACACTGTGGGCTGCTGTGTGATACTGTTTTATTCAGCATGGCTTTATAGATAAAGAGAATGTAAGTGACTTGTTTTAGGTTATAATAAAACGAATCCTGATGTAGAGGTCCTGTGGGAAATTATACAGTAACGTTACCTACATAACTAATTTTCTTCTTATGAAACCGTGATTCCCACTGCACTTTTAGAGCTATCAAAAGTATTGTTTAACATCACCATTTCCATGTTAATACCTCCGTAAATCACGAAAATGTAATACTTTGTGCAGAAAGTGAGCCATTTCCTTTGGGAACACAAGTTTTCACTTCTAAATTAGAAGTTGCATGAAGACAACACAGAGCATGTCATATGTTGCTTATTGATACTAAAAATACTTTTTTTCTGGAAAGAGTCACTTTCTCCAAGTTCAGGGACGCTGTTAGTGACTGGCTGCCACACTGGAAGATAAATCGTTCCTTTCAGACACCTCTAGGGAAAGCACCGCAGCATGGGCCACTTCCCACAGACCCACAAGCATGTGGGAGGAATTGCTGCATTTCACTCCTTGCAGTGATGTTCCCTGGAATGATGGCAATTTAAGATAAATGGGAGGTGTGGATGGTTTTGTGGCCTGGTTATCCAAATTGTGTATTTTGCATCCCTGACACAGGATGGCATATGGCCTACGTGGGCCTGTGGACTGGTTCTGAGAAGCTACACAACCAGGCCTGCTACCATTATACAGATATTTAAGGCCACACAGAGGCTCCCCAAGGGGCATTTACATGAAGGTTTCACACAGGGTAAGGGAAAACGGGAGAAAAAAGGTGCAGATGTTCTCAGAGAGGACGGAACGCTCCCAAGTCGTCGCTCAGGTGTACAGAACTTGCTGGAACCTCACAGTGACACATCTGGCAGGTGAGGACCACACATCTCACATGCACTTGTCCCCGTGTGCCTGCTGTGAGGAGCCTGAGCTGTCTTGCTTACACCTTTCCTCCTCAGCACGCTCTCTAACCATCTGGGAAACGGTCTTACACAGTTTCCTGCAGCCGTGATGTTTTCCAGGCCACTTGCCACCCTTTCCCTCCCCGCTGAGATAACATCCCTCCGGAGACCAGTATGTGACAATAAGTCATTTCCCTCAGTGAAGGACACTTCTGTTTTCTCTTTTTCTCCAGGCCTCCCGACCCTTTGCCAGCTTCGCTCAAGCCTCTCTAAGCGCGTCTTGGCCCTGTTTGTTTGTCCAACAACCTTTTTGTTGCCGATGAATGCTTCTTGTCTGAGTGCCATCTGGGTGGACATTGTGGACCTCACAACTCTGGGTCCCATGGATGATATCATACGGGGAGCAGGGTCACCCCCAAACGACCTCAGTGTGAGTGCCAGGAGCTTCCCACAGCTGCCCTTGGGCACAGGGGACTGTCAGCGTAGGTATATGGTCCCGTGGTCACTTCTGAGCTGACGAGGGCTGCAGGTTGTCATAGAGTCTATACTTTGACTGCTGCCCCCCCATCCACAGAAACATGATCTCTGAGCACGAGGGGGCATGAAGCTATGACGAGTCCAGCACAGAGCCGATGTCTGTGTCCACATTATCTCGTCCGTCCTTCAGTCATGCGTCTCAAAATAAGCTGGTTGAGAAGCACCTGTGTCTGAGGGAGCTGTTCCCAGAGGCCCTGGGTCACGCGGAGACACCCCCTCATCTCAGTAAAAGAAATCTTAGGGATGAAGGATAGTTACCGCATGGTGAGCAGCAATGCATGTTTCGAATGGAGGCTAAATCTGGGTGGGAGGAAGAAAATGGAT